CAACTGTCTGACTGGGCCATCCATCCAGTTCCTATTGCTTGGATGGTTCTGCATTGCGGAATCTATATCGGTTGACATGCATCAAATCTGGATTTCATCTACCACACACCAACCTTTCCTTTTTGGCTCCCTTTTTGATAGAAATTGCATTTAGTCTGAGACATCAAGAATTCTAAAAGCATGTTTATCTGCTAATGTGTCAAATATAACAAACCTGTTTCAGTTATAATCATAAAATGTTGGAAAACTAATCTTTTCAATTACCAAAGTAGCCTCTCATCTTCTGTGTTGCTGTTCACAGTACCAATAATTTCCTATTTTCTTAGGTCACAATTTTAGAAATCATGAAATTTTTTTTTCTTTTTCTCCTCCAACTCTTACTCAAATTAGTAACCAAGGTTTAAAATTTTTATTCTATGCTAGATTTCTTCTTTCCTACTCATAGCAATCTGGCCCCTGTTAAATGTGGTAATTTCTACAAAAGTTGAACTTGGATTTCATTTAGATATTTAAATTAATAATAGACAAACCTCCCTCAAAAATTTTAATCATATCATTTCCTTGTTTCAAAAGGGCTTTCCACTATCTATTAGAACTAACCAAAACTCAGTTCCCTGTATTTCAAGACCCTCTATTAACTGGCTCCTTTATAGCTATTAACTTAACATCTTTGTTTTAATCATTTAGTTTACACAATTTATTACTTATTGCTCTTTAAATCTTTGAACATATGATTTTTAGCTCAGGAAATATGCGGTAGTCAAATAAATGGACGAAAACATCCAGTTTAAGCTATTGCTAAATTGCTTTATCTGGATCAAGCCTTAACACCAGTCTAGGTACAGACCCATTAAAAACATTATGTGGGGGAAAAAAATCAAACCCATTAGCCTTCTAGCCACTTATTTTGTACTCCAGGTTTACACCATAGTTTTGCTTTTTTTTTTTCCTAGCTTTGCCCCATACTCAAAATATATAAACCACTTGTTTTGAGACAATGCTCCAAACTTTATTCTTTCTTAACGTAGTAAATCAATTCTGTGACTAATTAGTTCTGCACTCACCAAAGAATTAAAAGAGAGTGTAATAATTGTTAATTAAATATTTTCAAATTATGTCTAAGGTTGCTTAGTACGTACCTTGGGACATAATTAGATGTACGAGAAAAACTGTCTCATCACCCAATTTTGGAATTGCCTCATGTACATGAAGATGCTAAGTGCGAGTTAAGGTCATGGATTATCTAGGGACTTGGTTTAAAGAGAAATCAACATTTACTGGGGTCATTATGGGATGTATCACCTTCTCATAAGAAGTAGGACTTGAGATAGCTTTTGAAATATGGGTAGATTCAGGAAAAGTATTTTAGTCAAGGCATAGAAGCTGAGAAAAGAGGTAAAGGTAGACATGAGCAAGCCACAGCTAAGGAACAGCCAGTGGGGCTAGCCCAACAGAAACAGTGTGTATTGAGAAGTAGTAATAGATGTTTAAAAGATAAATTGAGCTGGATCATATATGACCTTAAAATAAGAAGTTTGGATTTATTAGGCAGATAATATCTTAAATATAGTCATATATAGTAGATTTTCAAGAATAAATGGATGCATTTCCTCAAGAAATATAAAGACATATAAAAATGCTAATAATAATGTTTTGTTGGCAACAGAGAGCATAACAACCAGTCACAGAACTGATTGAAGAAACAAAATTATTGGTATCATCAATAATAAATCCAATTTCATTGCCCATGAGGAAGCTTACATTCACTATGTCCATGTTTTTCAAAACCCTCATTGGGAAAGAGCATTTATTCTGTCTTAGGGAAACTATGAAAAAAGAACATATTATCTTAATTCTACCAAATTTCTATGACTACACCAAGTTTTCCAACCAAGAGTAAAGCATTGTCCATAAAAATTAGGTAGTGAGTTAAAAGAAGACTTTTAAAATTAAATTTTTAATTGTCAGAATGGCCCTTTATTATTTTAGCTTTCCCTAAAAATGCACAAGTTCTCAACTGATATCACTTTTGAAATGAACATTACATACATGTAATTAAGGCCATTATGAAAACAAAGAGTTGTTTTCAAACCAGTAAAGAATAAGTTCAAGTGTATAAGACATCACCCTAAATAGCCTGAGGTCATCTTGCTAACAGAGCTTTAAATGTATAGGAAGTACTTTGTGATTGCCTTGAGGACCACACAGAAATATTACCAGGTCAAAACATGACTATATTTCCTGATTTCATTGATAGCTAATATTTCACAGTCTTTCAAAATACAATAAGTTTCTAGAATTTTATACACATGAGTAATTTTTCTCATAACTTGAGTTTCTAGATACACAATGAAAGCTTGTTAACAATTGGATGACAGCTATTGAAACTGTCTGAGCTGAATTTTGCTTGCCTTGGAAATGGACATATTAATTTCTGTCTCAGTTGCTTTAGTTGGAGAAAGGCATGATGAAATAAGATAAAGCATGCAAGGTTATAAAAGAGCTAAATATGCTAGCTTAGGTCTGGCAGGACCATGTAGCAGAAAGAACACAGGCTTTGAAGTTCAGTTAAAAAACTCACATTCTTTCCATTGCATCAAATGCTGTGCCGTTAAAATGCTAACTCCTTCACAGTTTGATCCAGAATCTCTATCTCCAAGTGGGAAAATGGGCTCAAATGAAAATAGGCTAATTTTGTCTATAGAGTAAGGTGGTGCTGCGGACAAAGAGATGTTTGAATTTGTTGTTAAATGCTCGTAGCTACATGCTCCAGGCCTAATTGTGGGAGTGGCCCAGACAGAGTCTAATCATGGACATAACCAAGAATTTCCAACCATGACACTACCATTTTCCTCAATTTGTTCTACTGAGAAACAGAATACCTCTACTCTCCATTTCGAAATAATACAGAAGAATGTCAGTGGCTATGTAATAGCCTTGTTCTAGAAAACTGGGGGAGAGTTTGAGGGAGGATGAATTTCTCCTCATCTACCAGTGTATGATGAAATGTTACACTACCAGAAAAGGAACATGAGGATGAAGAAGATAGGAGTATCCAGAACTTTTCGACACATAATTTAAGATTCTTTCCCACAAAATCCTATGTATTGAAAATACAAATAAAGTCAAGATAGAAACCAAATGTCAAAAACTGGGACTAGAATTTTTGTACTTGAAAAACAATATTTCCTACTGACCCGTAAGTAACCGTAGAGGTTACTAGCCTTAAGTTCCAAGTCAAGTTTCTGATATTCTTTGATTAACGGTTCTGAGGAAGAACCAGAAACAACACCAAAAGGAGCAGGAAAGAGTATTTTCTTCAAAGTGATAGTTAAGTTAGAGTGTGTGTGTGTATATATTAATATACACATGTGGGTGTATACATACACACTACATATATCTATATTCACATACAACCTTCCTGATTCTTCCTCTGCCTGTGACATTGCTTCAGCCTTTGTTAAATTTTGGTATTCTATTATTCTGTTTGGGGTTATGTCACTTAAGAAGCCATCAGTGACCTTTGAATATCGTACAAGTAGTGGTGAATAGCTAATTGTTTTTCTATGGAGAGTAAGTGAAATAGCTGAACTTAAGCTGGAAAATTGTGTTAGGGTTATAAAGGACATTTTCAAATCATATAGTTTGTTAGACTGAAATTAGGAAACCCTCTTCTTTCAGGGTTTCAGGTTAGGAATCTCTCAGAGACCCTTTTGAAGCACATAACCTCTTCCTAAGTTTATGACGTTGAAATTAAAATAAAGCTAGAATTTATATTAATTAACAGGAATAGTAAATACAAAAAAGTAAGAAAAAAAACCAGAAAAATCTAGACATAACTGAAGAGGAGTCAATTAATCCCTTTACCACAATGCCAAAATGAAATATTTGGATTCCAGTCAAGTGATGCTTCATTCAGTGGCTCATTAAAAACAGAGTTCACTGGTCCACATGTACTTTGAAGGTTTCTAAAAAGTGAACTTATTTCACTACTTTTAATCATATTTTATTATAGTAGTCATAAGGTCTTAGGATGGGGATAAAACTGTTACTTTGAAGTAGTATAGAGGTTTCATCTTTGGAGGATAAAAAGACTAACAGCAGAAGTTTAAAAAAGATGACATGATCTTAAAATCTTTAGTTCCTTTATAATTCTAAGTTATTTCTTATTATTTTTGTTTATATGTTTGCTAAAATTATTTGTCCACAGGATGAATTTAGTTATATATAGGACAAGAGAGGCACAAGTGAGAATGTTAAATCAATATGAAAAAAGAGAGAATTATTCTGAGAATTACCTACTTAACCTAGTGTCACATATGAAACTTTTTCTGTCTCTACTAGCAATCACAGGGTGAATTTGTTGTACAGTCAATTTGATCATAACTCAGAAGTGCTACTAGTAACACTGCTATGTTACCCAAAACAATACGATAAATTAAAAAAAGAGATAGCGATGGAAGCTTCCTGAAGTCAAGTCTAATACCACATTCCCTATAAAACTATTTTTTGTTCATATTTATATTTGAAAGTGTATGAACCTTTTATATAATCAAATACTATTCTTACCTGAGGTTATAGAAAGGTCTTGGGCTGCTTCTCCATCTTGTATTTCAACTACCATTGTGAAACCCAAGTAGGGCAGAGAGATCAGTCCAGGGAGAGAGTTCTATGACTGTACTAGTCTCACTGCTATAAACTGTGACATGTGCTAGAATAAGGGAGGCAGTTCTGTGGGGTTCTAGCTGGGATGGGCAAGGCCTAAGAAGAGGCAAGGAGATTAAGTTCAAATACTCTTTGGGATATTTTAGTTCAATCCCCCTCCGAAGCGTCTGGTGTGTGTGTGAGGAATGGTATTTTTTTTAATGCCTACTTTATGTCAAACCTACTGCATCTTAAAATTTTTAGTAATTAGAAATCTGAAATATTCAAAATTATACTTTGTCAATACCACGAAGTTAGTGAAATAAAAATTATGATATATTTATAAATCTTCTTACCTTCACATCTTTGACATTCATCCTTGTTCCTTCCTTCCCAACAAAGATATCATCAATGTCCACAAGGATGTATCTGTCCAGGGACAATGTTAGCCTCTTCCCTGACAAGAAGGAGATGGCATCTATGAAGATGAGCTTGTGTAGCCAAAAGTTTAAGTTGTTGCCAAAAAGAACTCTCTGAATTCCATCATGAAGGCCCAGGTCCTGAATCACTGTCGCATAGAGAGGTTTGCTGGACAAGGACCAAAGGGATTTTTCTGTCTGTAATTCAGTTAAAAGCACAGGCTGGTAGGTTGAATGATTATATTGGAAAATAGTCCAGTCTTCCCCAGGGAGAGGGCCTTTCTCAACCTTGGGGGCTTTGGTAATATGCAGCAAAGGAGACTGAGGGTTGACAAAACAGTCCTTTAGAGCTAGATTATTGAAAAGGTTTAATGGAAAGCCTTTTAATTGTGTACTTGGTAAGCTGTTTTCATTGGCTTTATGAAAACCGATTATACTAACACTGTATTCCACACAGTATTTTTCTAAAAGCTCTCGATTCCATGAGTCCATGCTGACATACTTCAGAACATTTTCATAAATAACTAAAATATACTTCCCTTTGCCATTATCTGTAAGAGGAGGTATATCTCCCTTGCCAGGGGCAATGACCATGTGGTACTGATATCGGCTGGACTCCAAGATAGCTATGATATCTTGACCGAGTTGAGAGTATTGGCTTTCCACAAATAGGAGGACAGTAGGGGCAGTTTTGGACGTATCAATAGGTTTAACTGTTTTCAGCTCCATTGACCGATATGGTAGAATTTTGATGTCAGCACATTCTGCTTCTGCAGTGGTTTCAATAAGTGTCATTTCCTGTTTATAGCCAGAGTAGAGGAAATAGGCAGAGATGACAATGCTCACCAAGCAAAAGGTAGCTAAGAGAACAATCAATGTTCGAAAACTTCTCCGAAGCTTCACAATAAGATTCATTTTTTTAAAATACTGCTTTGGAAGCTTTCTCCAGTTTCTTTTCCTAAAGTGCCATGGTGAATAAAGTATGAGATGGTGCAAATACCACTTCCCAAAAGTTCATGTAACCATTGCAAACCATGTAAAATGTTTGGAGGGATCACAAGCAAGTTAAAGTTGGAAGGTAATGTACCAGGAGCGCAAATGTGGAAGAGATTTTGAATATGTCCAATACCAAAGATTGCTGTAGAATCCTTTAAACATTACCTGAAAAAGAGGAGAAATGTAATGACTAAGACAAAAATAGAAATATAAAGGTTTATATATATATATATACTTTTTACATACATATCAAAGATAATTTTAATGTGTTAATATGCTAAAATATTAATAATGGATGTTTACAGTCTGGGTTTTACTACTTAGAGTATAGTAGATATGTTCACGTCCTCAAGAATTCAGGATCCTATTTGATTTTGCCAAAACATTCATATATACATTATATACATATATATATAAACACATATTGGGATAATTTTTCAAACTAGTTATCTCAAAAAAAAACAAAAAAAAGAAGTAAGAAAGAAAGCTTTAGTGCAAAATGTTAATCACCATAAAGATTGCTTCTCCAGGGTTGGCAAACATTATATACATTTAGAATTAGGAAATCCAGTATTTGTATGGGGGTTGGAGCAGTGAAACACGCTCTTAAGTATGTGCTTAAGCATCTGGAGTCCAGCTGAGGGAATGATTTTGTCCTTTTTTAGGGAAAAAAAGGAGGAGGATTGGCAATAGATGTTAGCTCAGGGCCAGTCTTCCTCAGCAAAAAGAGGAGGATTAGCATGGATGTTAGCTCAGGGATGATCTTCCTCACACACAAAAAAAATAAAATAAAATAAAGAATTAACCATGGAAAACAGTTTTAATTCTGATTAGAGGAGTAGGCCAAATTTAGGAATGTGCTTTGTAATTTTATTTATTTTTCCCCCCAAAGCCCCAGTAGATAGTTGTATGTCATAGCTGCACATCCTTCTAGTTGCTGTATGTGGGACGCAGCCTCAGCATGGCGGGAGAAGCGGTGCGTTGGTGCGTGCCCAGGATCTGAACCCCGGCCGCCAGTAGCGGAACATGCACTCAACTGCTAAGCCACGGGGCCGGCCCTCCATCATTAATTTTTATCCAACAATCAAATGTTCTCTTTCCCTATCACTTTCTTTAATTCAAAAGAAAAAGAATGTAGAGAGCATTTACAAAAAGAATCTTTCTCAAACTGCTTCACACAAATGAACATGATTTTCCATTATCATTAGATGTTTTTCTTTATATGGGTGACTGATCTTTAGTGAATTCATTTGTATACAAATTTTGTTCATTCCCCCGAAAATTATGTTACACTATTTATGGAATTTTCCATTTCCCAGTTTGCCAAACCAGTGTCCTTAAGGAAGCAACCAAACTAGTTTATGCTTTCAATCTGTGATATGTTTACTTTAAGATGTGTATTATTGACATACTATATCACAGAGAATCAAATTAGCGTGTTTTGTAATATGAGCTATATATTCTACCACATTGTAAGTATTTTCTGGGTTCTGTATTTTATTATTTTAATTAGAGGAATCTGAGTAATTAATGGCTATTAGTGATTAAAAGATTATTAGATTTAACGATTAAACTTTCTAATCTTACATCATTACTTCCATTTTATATTTTTTAATATTTTTAAAACATTCTCTAAGGTTTATAATATGAACATTTTTAAATTTATACCAAACATTTTAATTTTTTAGATTCCAAATATTTAAATAGACCTGAATTTCCCCTGTGAAAGACAGTGCACCAATTCGAACTATGACCCCAATGAATTCACTTTGACTTTAAAGAAAAATTAACTCCACATATTAGGACTTACTGATACTCTGTTATCAAATATAATTTTTTAAGATAATTATTTGCTCTCTAAAAGTCTTTCCAGTGTTCCAAAATTCTGTTCTCTTTAAACAAATTTAATTGTATTTTACTAAAAGAAATTAAATAAAGCAATAAAAAGGCTTTGGTTTGCTATAAAATATATAAATCAATTCTGCTCTACCCTTTACTTGTGTGTATGTTTGAAAATGTACATAAAGTAAATTTAAAAAAAAATTAAAATAAAAGATATATATACATAATAAATATAATAAATATTGAAAGAGATTTGGAATTTGCCACGAGAGATTATCTGGTCTTGTATTATATCCATTCCTAGACTTCTCCAAGCTCCTATATTTGATTTAAATGTTCATTTAAACAAACATGGAGTCAGTCCCATCCCCACCCTGCATTTCCCCACAAAAGCAGAAATCTATTTAATCCACACACTTGGAGGGTTTCTTTAGTATTTTAAGAATAAATTTAATCATCAATTTGAAAAGAAACTAAGTGCATGACAAGTTAATATTTTATTAAACTCTATCTATTCTGACATCAAAAATGTGATTTTTATTTTTGAACATACAAAGGATGAGATGTCAGTTTTGCATATTAGAATAGCTCATTCTAATATGCAATAGTGAAAAAGAAATAAAAAAGCATATGGGACTAGAATCTGCCAACCAAAAGAATAAATAAAATTTAAATGTGACATTTATTTAACATTAATATGTTCAAAGTTAGAAGAATGATAGATACATATTACCACCACTGTAGATATGAGTTTTTGAATGTGTGTCTATGTTTTAACTTAAGGAGTTATCCTTCCCATCCAGTCCTCTCATTTATCCTTTCCTAACAAAAACTGGCCAGAGGAGGTGAGAAAGCTTGGACAATAAAAGATGGCGTAACAAGGATGTTTACTATGCCCTGTACCTGAGATAAGGATGGAGGGCATTGTTTGGGATGCCAAAGAGATGTAGTCTGTGATTTGTTTGAATCTCCTATTGTAAAATAATAGAAAAAAAATGTATATATAGATCTCCGTCCCTAGTTCCTGGCACAGAGCTCCTAAATCCCTTGGAATTGCCTGTGTGACACAAGTGTCTTTGTTCTAATGAGGCAATTCGTGGTGAACTCCTGGAAGGGGGCTGGTCACAAGACCAAATAACGATTAGAAGCTTGGAACTTTCAGCCCCACCCCCTATCCTCTGCAAAGGGGAGAGGGACTAGAAATGGAGTTAATGATCAGTCATGCCTACGTGATGAAGGCTCCAGAAAAATCCCACAAGTAGGGGGTTTGGAGGCCTTCCAGGTTGGTGAACACATCCATGTACTGGGAAGGTGACACACCCCAACTCCACAGGGACAGAAGCTCCTACGCTCAGGACTCGACCAGACCTTGCCCTATGTATTTCTTCATCTGGCTGTTTATCTGTATCCTTCATCATATAATAAACTGGTAAAACATAAGTAAGTGTTTCCCTGTATTCTGTGAGCCGTTCTAGCAAATAATCAAATCCAAGGCGGGGAGGTCATGGGAACCTCCAGTTTGTAGCCAGGTCGGGCAGAAGTTGCGGGTAACCTGGGGTCCTACTACTTGTGATTGGCATCTGAAGTGGGGGCAGTCTCTTGGGACTGAGCCCTTAACCTGTGGGGTCTGCGCTAACTCCAGTTAGTGTCAGAAGTGAACTGAATTGCAGGATACCCAGCTGGTGTCACAAAGCATTGCTTAGTGTAGGAAAAAAACTCACACATCTGGTGTCAGAGATGTGGTAAGTATAGTAGCAGTGCGAGAGTAAAGGAGAAACATACAGGAGGAAAAGTAGGTTTTCTACACACTGGTCTAGTGCTATGTCCCTTAAAAGAAAAAATATAATACGATAAGTCAGAGTGAAGGGGTAGGAGTTCAACTGAAGAATTCTGTGAAGGTCAAATAAGAAAATTGAGATCATTTAAAAAAAGACACATAGGTTAAATGAGTCATATAAAATTAAAGATATTCATTTAAGGATAATGGTCAAGACACTAAAATGCTGCTCCAAAAGTCTAAAAATATGTGCATGTGTTCTTAAGGAGTGATATGCTAAAATTTTTATTTTCCTTTATTCCAATGCATTGCGCAGGAGGAAGCTGAGAGCAGTGAACAACAAACAGCCACAGACAGTTCTTTGCTGCGTCCCCCTCCGCCACGATGTTGGCCTTTCCTATAGGATGAATGGCCAGATGTATGGATGACTGAGTGAGTTGCATCTGTGAAGAACTAATGTTTCCTTAACCACCATTCCAAGAAAGTTAAATAGGCTTTGATCCTAATTCTGCTAAATCTGCCTTTCACACGTCCTAATAAGTCTACTGTTAAAAGTCTGGCAAAGGAGACCTACTCATTATTCTTGCGACAACCTTTCCCACGGTGTGGGCTGCAGGACCACTGTGCAGACTTTGGTGAGGGAAAAGGGAGGCTTTTTTAGGTGCTGCCTTCCTTGTTGTCACTCATCTTTTCTTTTCTTTTTCGTTTCTATCCTTCTAAGTATGACTCTTCACCTCAACAGTAGTGAAATAAGTATCTCTCAGAATCTTTTACTCTCTTTTAAGATTAGATAATGTGAAGAAATTATTGTTTTGTACATCTGTTTTAAAATCGTTCTTTGAATTATTTCCAAAATGCGTTTATAGGTTCTCTAAAATATAGTCTGCAAAGCCCATTTACCAAGGGTTCTCAAGCCTTGTAAATACCTAGTAATCTCTGGTAGCAGCAGAGAAATTAGTAAACAAAACAACTGCAGGTACTGTTGAAGTTATTGCTATTTTCTGTAAAGAAGGAAATTCAGAAGTAAGATAGGGGCTAGGAATCACCATGAATGTATGTGATTGTTTCTTTCTTGAAGGTGGTCTGATGAGCTACACAGATTATCACAGAGGCTCGTTAAACTGCAGTTGAAATTGAAAACAAAAAACCTTCCATATTTACTAGCATTTCATGAGTGGCTACTAGTTGCCAGTCACTGTGCTGCATTCCTTACATTCATCATCTTGTTTAGTAATTATGAATCTATTTTTAAAATGAAGAAATGGAGATTTAGACGGCTTAAGAAGGAGACTGAGATTACACCACTAGTCATTTGCGATGCTAGGGTTCTATGTTGCACCCATTGCACTGAGAAAAACCAAGGATTAAGTTAGATGAAACCAAAAACTTAGCGGTTAGCATAATTAAATAATATAATTATCAGAAAACTTTATTTCGATGTTAAAAATTCAGAGATGCGAAGTTAGAAATATCCACCAAAAGCACAAACAAACAAACAAACAAACAAAAATCCAGAGGTAAACTGAATTAGCTCAAAAGAAGCTGT